AAGACTGGTTCAAGCATATGTAGCCGAGTTTGGATCTGCTCTGATCCCAATACAAGGTGAGATGGGGCTGTGAGGTGTGCGTTCTGTGAGGAGATCTCAATTTGATGCAGCCCCACAGACACCTGGTTATAGGGGTGTCAATGGACTGGTTTTGGGTTGGATTCCGTCTAAATCAAAATCAATTTGGATGGATTAGAAAGACAAAGAAAACATATTGAATTTGGATGGACTGGATGGACCAATACGATATATTAGATTGGACCTGGTCCGTCCATAATGAATTTATATTAGATTGAGCCAATATCTAATCCATTGATAAATGAGTTAGAAAATAAAAACATAAGTATCAATAATGGATTAAATTTGAGTTAAAACTAATCTAAATTAACAGGAATTTAAACAGATTGGACTGGACCAGTCCAAAATATTTATTAAACTAGATTGGACTTCCACTTATCACATTGGACTGCATCGGAATTGACACCCCTACCTGGTTATATATAGGCTATCCTACCTCTAATACATTTGTTTTATTAAAAGGAAGATATTATATATGATACAAATGTAATAAGTGATGTCATCATGTTGGTACTCCATTGTGTCGATCAAAAATTGAGTCCTGTCCACTGCAAATTAAAGGCACAGGATCATATGAATGAGCTACGTAACAAAATATACAATAATAAAACCACACAAATATATATTATAGCCCAGTCCAGGCTGGGACTGTATTCAGGTCTACTGGCATAGAGCCAGGCAACGCTAGGCCTAGGCGTAGTCCAGCTCAAAATTTCTTATATCTTATGGTGGGCTGGGCCATCCCATATTGATCGACAACCTATTAGGGCTGCAAAATATCCAATCCCATAAAAGTTGATCATCTGTTTATAATGGATCGAATGTGGTTCAACCCATATCCTCCTATCCACATTAATATAATTCAATTCGATTTGATTTACAAATCTATCTATTTATTAATATTTATATTGTATCATGTTTTTATTAATTTTTCATAAATTCAAGTTTCGTATAAAGAATTTTCAATTGATTTTGTTTATAACATAAAATATAAAGCCATCTTCAGTTTATTTTACCATTTTTAATTTACTTTTCTTGTACTATCTGATTGCAATTAAATTATAAACCAAATAAATTACCTACATCTTGATTCGATTTGATCCGTTTGCAGCCTACAACCTGTTTTGGTATCTCGCCCCTTCTATACAACCCCTCTTGCCTCAGGTCCCCCCTCCCCATCGACCACACAGAAGAAAAGAAAAGAGGAAAAAACATAAAAGATGCTAGGATCGAAATGACACTTTACATATCACCGCCTGTTTTTTATTTTTCTTCCTTTTTTTTATTGTTCTAATATGTTTTACGAATCAAAAATAGCAGAAAATGCAATTTCCTAATGTGTATGATTTTTTACACGTGTGTATATAATGAAGAGTCATTTATTAAAATAATTCTTATAGTTTTATGCTTTTACTAAAACATAATTTATTGAGTTTTACTAAAACACTCCTTGTATTTTGCAATCATTTACTTAATTTACATTCCATTAGATGACAATGGAAAATAATAGTTTTAACCTCAATGTCCATTTCAATAATAATCATAAGAAAATAAATAAGGTTCGACTATGATATGAAAAAGATATGATATCCGAAAAACATCCAACCAATCAATTGGAATCATAAATGTGGTAGCGAATTAGATATTATTTATCAAAATTCATAGGTGGGTTTTGATTGGTCAAAGCTATTTCCATACTATATCTTTTCCACATTATAGATTTTTCCAAATAAAAAAAAATAAAAATATCAATTTTCACCTAATCAAATACAAGCAATCAGTCTATTGGGATCTATTTGCTCAACTTTATTTTTTGCACGAATAAGTGTTAGATGTGCTTTTGAAATAAACGATCATGGGATTATGCTTATAATATTACTGTTTTCAGATGGAAAAATAAATACTTGTCAGTGAGAGGTTGATTAATTAAATAGGTTATAAAGTAGATGTCGAGATCATCTGTCCCCAAAGGACAAAAATTTTTTTTGTCCTGTCCAATTCTATTCGAACACGTCACCTTTTCCAAATTAAGGTGAAACGGACGGACTTTTGGCTCTACTAGCATATGGATGCCGAAATTTTATCAAAAACAATTAAACCGAGCCTACCTCTCCTTTCTGCTGCTCTCTTCCCCTCCCTCCCCACTGCCCCTTCACCCTCACTGACCTCATAGCGTGAAACCATTCACCGACGACACTGCAACTAAGCCGCTTCCCGCAGTGAAAGATATTGCCGCTTCCACCCTTTCCGTTGATACCCTCAACGCTGCAACTGACAACCATGCCTATTAAAGCTGAAATCTGGTCTGGGTTCCTCCATTTTTTCTAAGAACTTTCTCCAAACAAATTATCTTTTTAGGGATCTTCCACTATAAATATGGGCCAGTAATAACAAATATAAACGGGCTCTTGACTGCAAAGCCTGGTTCTGTTTGAAATATAACTGTGATTTTGCATTTTTGTGACTTTTGGATGATTAAACATGCCATGGATGAGTTCCATTTAATGGATTAACCAGGCTGAGTTATATTGTTATTGATTCTCAACAATGGTCTTTATTAAGGAAATATAAGGAAGAGTGGAAATAAAGGATTATGTCATTGACCAAATAACAACAATAACAACAAACACTTTTACTACATTTATTTGGTGACTGTAGACTTTTTAATGCGATGTGGTTAACAATTTGCCATTTCTTTCATTAAACAAATTGTAAATTAGATGTGATGTAGTGCAATCTAGCAATTCTTGCGTGTCTGATGATTCAGATGCTGATTTGGATGTTTGTCTCGTCAGTGGCCGAGCTGTATTGGGTCGAGTTAAGGATGGCCAAGCTGTACTATTCTGAAAGAGAGGTAGCATTAGAGTGCCCGGGTTGTTTTTACCTGGGGCAGACACTCCGATGCTTAAGTCAGTGAATGGTATTGAGAGTTCTTAAGAGATGAGATAATGCAAGAGTTTAAGCGCGCATACCTTCTTAGGTGAAAATGAGGGCTTTATATAGATGTGAGTGACTTGAGTCCTCTTGCAACAGGTCTCAGGTTCTCACGGAGCCATTTCCATTCACTCGAGAGAATAATTACGTCGATTACATAATTTACGCAGGGGTTGTGGTCCGTCCGATTAACTCTGATGTGTGTGATAGGGTAGGCCAGTCTAACGATCGATTCATTAGTACTCCGGAGATCTCAGACTAACAACAGATCTTTGAGACAAGTCAATAGGATCGCCCTGCAGGTCACCAAAGTTACTCTTCGTAGCTCAGTCGGTCTTTGAGATAGGTCGCTATGTGCTGGAAGACCTATCAGCTCGGCTTGGCCAAGGTATTTGAGGTTGGCCTGGGTGAGGTGCTACGGGCCAACTTATCGAGGTGATTCGCTTACTCAGCGTTGAGATATCACTTAAAGGCCACATGATGCATGATTAAAGTGTAAAAAATTTCACTATGCCAACCGTGGACATCGTGATCAATTATCATCTGAAACTTATAACTTAGGCAATTTCTATGGTGCCAGATGGAAGGGTGTTTCAATCTTCAACATGTAAATCCAGAATAAAACTAAGTATTAATGGGGACAACCAGGTCTGATCGGATCACATCCCTAAACAACACTTTTGACCTGAACGATTTCGTTGGTTATTGGGAAAAACATCTATAATTAGCCAAGTTTCGTGTTATTTCTATCACCGATTTGCCTGTATTTAATTTACTGGGGAGTAGTAAGGGAGTATTCCAGCAATGAAGATGAACACAATGTGTATCAGATTTTGGATGAATCTGATCAAATCAATTGTCAGCATTCATATGTTTTTTTTTTTTGTTTAACTATTAACATAACATGTTAACACCGATGAGGTGTTTTAGCAAATAGGATTGGACAGGAATCAAAACTCTTAAACTTGTGATCAGATGAACACAATCTGATCAAAACTTCGTCTATTTCAAATTAATTTGGAGAAGGTGACATGTTCAAATAGGATTGGACTGGACAGACAATGTAAACTCATAAATTATATGGAGTGTTTTAACAAAATAAAAACTATAGAGAAAATTTTAAATAAATCCATGAAGGGGGTATTGTAATAAATGACCCTATTATGAATGAAAAACCTGTGCCACACTGATGAAGTGATGAGCAGATCAAAATATGTATTCAATTTGAATACGGAATTAATCCAACCTGAACGTCAGTCGTCAGCCTAAAATGAGAGTATTCAGGAAAGAATGAATGAGGTGAGCTAGATCTGACATCCATAGTGGGCTCAACTATATTTGATTGGAATTTGGAATGGATTCGAATAAAGGGATTCATTCAATGTATGGGCATCCCTATCCATAAAGATCCCAGCTTATATTCAATCCACGAGGTTTGTCGACATAAACCGAAAATTAGATGGAATTGGGTCATACGGCTGCTTTATGGTTTTCCTCCCTTTTTGTTTATCAATATTGCCTTTTTTTTTTTCTTTTATAGCTGTTGAGTTGGCAATATGGAATTGCTCAAAGTTACAATAAAATTAAGGAAAAATTCTTGATTAATATCCTGTATTTTGGGCCTATCTCTACTTTAATTCTCAAACTTTAAAAACATGACAAGTTAGTATTCAAATTTTAAAATGTATTAATTATTAATTAATCATTAAGTGATATTTGAAAAGATATAAATGTTCAATTAATTCTGACTATCAATAATCCCAAATCATTCCAGCAGTAGGCAATAATACTTCTACAGTTGTAGCGAAATGGGTACGTTGCCCACTCTTGTCTGATCCTTTATTCTCCATGTGGCTCTTAGAGCCGCTGAACACCCATATATAACTATTTATATTAATTGGCACTAACGTGCTTGGTCGGCACTTTAATACTGGCTATTCATATCTAGTTTGAGAGAGAGAGACGGAACCATTCATGAGGCTAAGAGATAATGGATTCACAGCAGCCCAAAGCTTTTTTCTTCCGTTAATTCTGGTAGATCGAATTAGTGCCATAGAATTATAGAGCTTCGAGTTTTTATCACCACGAGCTTGGAATATAAAGTAGAAACATCCTAAACAATAGTTTTACTTCCTTTTGGTGGTTGTTTCATGTTGGAGCAATTAATTAATTAATTAAACTGTTCCATCACCGTCGTAACAGTCGGCAGCAGCCACCCTTCTCTGCACATTCTTGTAAGAGTACCTCCTTGCTATGAAGACATAGACGCACAAGTTCACTGCATTCATGGCTGCCAACAACCAGAAAAAATTGTCCAAGCGACTGCTGTTCAAGTCCTTGGCAAACCAACTTCTCCCCCACTTTTCAGTCAAATGGTCGACGGCTGTTATCAGAAGGCTACTTAGGAAGTTTCCAACTCCAATCACACCCAGGTAGAAGGCTATCCCTAGACTGCGCATAGAATCGGGAACTTGATCATAGAAGTACTCTTGCAAGCCAACCAGAGTAAACCCATCTCCTATGCCGATGATAATGAACTGTGGAGTTAACCAGAAGACGCTCATTGAAATTCCACCGATTCTTCCTTCTTCCACAATTTCCTTTCGTACCACTTGTAGCCTTTTTCTTTCAACCAAGGCCGCAGCAACCATGGATACAACTGAAAACACCATTCCGATGCCGATCCTCTGTAGTATCTTTATCCCCCTCTCGTTGCCTGTTACTCTTCGTAGTACGGGTACTAATATCTTGTCGTAAATTGTTACAGATGTGATCATTCCTATGGCTGCCACTGTGTAGATGGAAGCAGGGGGTATCTCGAAACCATGCCCAATCTTTCGGTTCATACTGCTTCCTTGTTTGATGAAAAATGTTGAGGCTTGTGCGACGCCCATTCCGAATGTCAAGCAGGTTAACCAGATGGGGATCATGTTGACCACAAGCTTCATCTCCTCGACTTTGGTTACTGTAGCTAGTCTCCATGGACTTTGTTGCTTGTCAACTGGTTTGTTGCTCTGATCACCATCTTCAAGGATTGCAGCTTTGTCCAGAAACCTGTCACTCCGGCCAATTCACAAACATTTTAAGCACATTGCAATAATAAAATCAGTTCAAAACTTATATTATAGCTCACATGAATCATGAATGGATGGATGGAAGCAGCTGGAATAGCTACGGGACAAGACAAGTCAGCTTATTGAAGCTTGCTTACCTAAGCTTATCGGTATGGCAAAGAAGCCTGCCTTGATTCTTCTCTGATTTTGGAATTTCGTAGAGTTGAGCAGGGTTGGAAGGATATGGATGATTTCTCTTGCTCAGGGCTGCTACGAATACCTGCAACATGGGTGTTAAGGGGCTTCCTTTGGGCACTCTGTATCGGTAAAACGGCCTTCCAATATAGAAGATTACTATTGTCAGGGCCATGACAACAGTGAGAATGATATCTGCAGTCCCCCAGCTAACGTTGTCTTGTACGTAAACGATAAGCGTCACGCCAAGCATGAGACCGCCACAAAGAGCTGAATTCCACCAATTGAAGTAAGACATTTTCTTTCTTCTTTCTTCTGAATGATCGTCATCGAACTGATCAGCCCCGAAGCTCTCAAGTGAAGGTTTGTGACCTCCAGTTCCTATAGAGATCAAGTAAATGGACAGGAAGAAGACCACTACGTGAAGCTTTGCTGGATTGCTACATGCTTCTGTTTTGCAGGGCTTTAAGCTTGGTATCAGCTCAGACATTGTTTTGAGGCTCAGACCCTGTTTCCCACATCCACAAAGACACTACATTCGTAAGGCTGCAGGATATTTCTGCAATTTTAATGAAACTCCTTAATCCTTATCATATCCACTTAGCTGAAGTAGTACTACAAATTAGTTGTTTAGAACCGGGCAACCAGCGGACCAACCTAGTTGGGAATCAAGCCTTAAATAATAACAGGGCTAGCTAGGGATGCGAACCCGTTTTTCCAAATTTGAATTCAAATCCGATCCACTTTTATTTTATTTTATATAAGCCCAAAGGGTGGAATCCAATCCAGTTAAGGGTGATTGGAATTCTATCTGTTTATAATTGGATTAAATATGGATTTACACTTTTCTTCTCTGATGTGATCCACTGGTTTGCATGCTAAATGTTCATTAAAGAGTCGTAAGTTGTTTACTTTATCAATGTCATTTGATATGTGAATTCGATTCCACTTAAATCCAAATATTAATGAATTAATTTTGAATCTAGGTATATCCAATTTGATAGGATCCGTTTGCATCCCAGATACATGCATGCCACGATAAGAATGGACGGAGCATTCAACAGTGTAATTGAACTGGCCAACTAAGTCAAAGAGCCGTTGAGAATTTATTGCATCTCATCTTATCTTTAGTAGGGGTGCAAGTGAGGCCGGGTTAGGTCTGGTTGAGGTCAACACTAACCCTAATTCAACTTAAAACCCCTCAATCTTAACCCAATTCAAAGTTGACTTCAGGTTAGGTTAAGCTCGGTTTGGGCCCAGCCTGGCCTTTTTCCATTCTTTTCAAATCTCATAAAATCTCTTAAATTGTTTTAGTCTTTAATTAAGAGGCAAAACTCAATATATATTGGCCAGATTTTTAAGTTTTAATAATTTAACAATGGATATAACATTAAACTAGAATGGATTGGAGAAACATGGATTCATCTAGCCAATCCCATGTAGTTGGGATAAGGATTGGATGGTGATTATGAAAGTTGTGACATTGCCCGACAGATTAGGCCTAAGTTTTAGGGGTGTAGACTCAATTTGGGCCAGAAAATTCAAGCCTGACGAGTCAACCTTGCTCCCATTGACAATATTCGACTCTTGGAAATTAAGTTGACTTAACGTCTAGATAATTACCATAGAAGAACCTAATCTTTCTTCTGAGTGAAAGTATATAGCATGAATGGGTAAGAAGAAGAAGAAGAAGATTACCAAGAAGTAGATAAATGATGAAACCAAAACAGTGGAGAATCTCCCCCAATAGGAATCTGCGAGAAATCCTCCCATTAGAGGCATCATGGTTGTCACACCCGACCAATAGTTTACATTCTTTGCCGCTGTTTTGAGATCTTGATGAATCACTTTAGTCAGGTATGTAATGAGATTTGTTGCTATTCCAAAGTAACTCAGTCTCTCACTAAATTCAATTGCTAGCCCAGAAAACAAACGACCAACAACACAATGTTAATTAAATATACAGATAGTTACGAGAAACATAATTTTGCCAAGAAAATTGAGCAGTACTTAACTTTAATTATATTAATGGTCCTTAATTTTTCTCTTACTTGCATGATCATGACCGTTTGGTGGCAAACGATGCCATAGTATAATTGTATGCTACGTACACCAGAAAGAGTCCAAGAAAAATGAATTTAGTTGATATGACTTCATCTTTACAACAGCAAGATTGGTTATTTGAAGCTTATATATCTAGGTTTTGGATACAGGAGGAAAGAGCCACCCATTGGTCGAGTAGACCGGTTTCATATTTTTCTGGGGCTAATATCGAGTATAATATTGTACGGCTGCCCCTTTCTTCTGAAGAAGAAGATTCCTAATTTAAGTGAAGACTACAATAGGGTTTTTTATTTTTATTTTTGGGTAAAATCAACAAAGTTTTGTTGAAATGCTTCACCGGTTGGCGGTTATCCCCTTATGAAATGCTTCACCGGTTTCTTTTGCTATTAAAGCTAGCTTATCCCCTTATGAAAATGGCTCAACTTATCATCAGTCAATACTGATGTAGGCGCATCCAGTTGGGCAAATGGCGAGCCTACACACGTCAGGCGGCGAAGCATAGAGTGGAACCAATCGGGTGGCGGGAAGAGCCGATGTCAACACCTTGTATTGGACCAATCAGGGTGCACGTTAGGTTGGGCTTGGCAAGCCTCGCGGAGCCAATCGTATGCCCTCACCTGGCGTTCTCAGATGATCACACCCTCGGTACGGATTGCATCTAGGCCGTTCGAGGTCACTTGCCCCCTGGTGGCCTTAAGTATAAATAGGAGGCAACCCCCTCTAGGTAAAGAAAAATACTCCAGCTCTCTAGCTCACTCTTGAGATTACTTGTTCTCCTGTGACCTGGTTTGGGTGTTCGCACCTCAGACCTCATCCACCTCGTAACCTCTTACTAACTTGACCGTTGGAATCCTTGCCTCAGGTCTTCACTCGAGGCCTTTGACATTCTCCTTCCCTACAGAATTGATATCGGGATCCTCATCCACCTCGGGTATCAGACACAATGGATATCGGACCACAAATCTCTCTCATCTCGGACTCCACTCCTCAACCACGTCTATCGTCGGACTTCCAATACCTCGGGTCTACTTGGACTTAAGGGTGAATTAACATTATTGACCTCGGCCAATCCGAGCATGAACAAATACCATCACCATCAAAGAGTTAAAGACAAATTTGGGATGGTTAAAAATTCCGTTTTCATCATATATATCAGTCGACCTGGAATTTTACTGTTCAACATACATTCTGAGTCCTACTTCATTCATATATGGGGCATTTGGAATCCACATGAATTATTTCATTCAAGGGATATCAATATAAATTGCAATTAAAATCTCTATTTTATTTTTTAAAAGTTAGGTAGAATTAATTTATTAAAAGATGCAAAAGGAAAAATGCTATGGAAAACTTAATTAATTTCAGTCTACATGGATTATGAACATCCATCAATTAATGCTCATATGCTCATGCCTGCCTAGTGAAATTATTCTACAGAAAGAACAGACAAGACATGAAATGAGAATCATACCGGTTAATTAAAATAGTAAAGCAATGAGAATCACAATTGAAGGTGTGGAATCGATATGATCATCAGTGAATTAATTCTCTATGTGTTGTGGGTTATGGTACTAATTCTTACCTATAATGAAGAGAGAGGCTCTCCAAACACCAGTCGAAGCTCGGCGAGGAATCCCTCCCTTGTGATCCACAGACGAATCATAAACCCATTTTTCCTGATCATCATCAATTTCTTCAGATTTCCCCCTCTTTCTCTCCTCCATTCTAGTTTCCATATATCTTACTGCAAAGTGAAAGAATAAAGATGCCTCACTAAACTAATTAATTAAACGACAAGGCATATGCAGAGACCATATATAAGACGAGATCTCAAAGATGGGGTAGATGATGAAGGGATCGATAGCGTTATACAACTTATATAGGGAGAATTCCTTTGTTGGGTCCTCCATCTAGATTTAGTTTTCTTTCTGCTTCTCGTGACAGAATTCAAGTTTAGATTAAGAGAAAATTGGCTGGCCATGATTGTGACTTTGTGAGAGAGAGAGAGAACTTTCTTTTCTTGCACTTAGATTAGATGTCCATACTCGATGGCTATGAGTGGTGGTGTAGTAAGGGATAGTATTCTTTGCCGACTAACATTGACAGGGTTCTGTTGATGAAGCAATTAAGGTCAAAAGGTGATCGTATCCTTACCGCACAATGGAAATTGTTGTCTTATCTCTAATGCCTTAGAAATGAGAAATGACGTAACTGACGATAGACACATGTCTCTCTCCAACTCTTGATCTAAAAGAGAAAATGAAAATAAAAAAGAAGCTTATTTCAATCTTGCAAAAGTTGATCTTTTAGCAGAAATGAAAGGTGAAAAGCTTTGGTACAATTAGGGTTCAATTTAACAATTGTTGTTGTCACCACCTTATTTATCTCCAAATGCATTCTTAGTTTATTGTGTCGTTGTTTTCTTTATTTTCCTTTAATTTTCCCTTATTAATAGAAAATGATTTCATGAGGTATGTGGTGGTTCGGGCACAGCCAAATTTTGATAAAGGTAGGTCTTGGGTCTGGTGTGAGACAGGATACGACACAAGTAGTACCACCTAACTTGCCACCTGTCCTATAAATTAAGAATTGGGACTCAGAGTTGAATATATGGATTCCAAACATCAACCAAAAAGGGGTCTTGTTGCCTTTCTTTCTGACGCCAAGGAGATCTCCCACGTTCCATTCTTTTCCGTTAGCCCGGCCCAAATGAAGTGTCCAAATTATAAAACACCACCCTTTAATCTAACTATACTATATAAGAGTCGACCATGTCGTATCAATTATATGTATTATTGGTGCGACTCGTCTGTGATAAAGGGGGTGATCCACCCTTCATTCAATCGACTACTGGTCACTGCTAGTAAAATCAGGCCTGTTCACCCTTTGTGGAACCAATTGATGGAGCGATGAGCTGATCGTGATTACTAGCTGTGGAATCAATAATGATCTGCCACACCAGTTGTATACTCCTTCGCTTGTAGCAGATCCTTCCCCATTTTAACATGTTTTGCTTTCGTAATGCTTGCGTTTGAAGGTTTCAACAATTGTGCTTGAGAAAAGCTGAACTGGAAGCCATATTTATTATATTATTGTGATAAAATGTCATTATTTTTATTTGAAGCTCTCTTTTGATAGTGGTTTGCAGTGGCAGATCCTTTGAAGTTGAACTGGATTTCCTTGCAAACTAATTTAATCAGAAAATTTGTCAGTCATTGCTGTGGTGAGTAAGCCAGTTTTTGAGATTGGATTTAAATAATCCACATGTTTAATTCTCCAATAATAAACCCCTCCTCTCTCTCCAGAGTCAAAACTGTGAACTAATTACGACTGCAAATTGTATCCATTTGTCTTAATTCTAAATCAAATTTGATGGTGATCCGAATTCAATCCTTCTGTAATTGGATAGGGATCCGCCTTTATCCATTACTTTATATAATGGTGAAATCTTGGGTTGTCAAGCCTAAGAACATGAGTTCAAGTTTGAAAGCAGTAATTTTTTGTATGAAAAATTGACAAAGGTTAGGATCATATCCAGTCTATCCCTGCCAAGGCCCTAGATAGTTTGGACCAATTTTGTGTAATAGCCTTATTTCTTTTTATAGATCCACCTCTACATGATTTCTGTTTTTTATTTTTATGGGTGCAAATCGGGTTGGCCCCGAGTATGCATTTTTCACTGCTTCAGGCTTGGGCCTTCAGGCCGAGTCCATTCACATTTTGACAAAAAGCCCAAACTGAACCTGCTCAAGTTGCACCTGACCCTATCTGCAGTTCTTATAATATTTAAACAATTATGCTTACATCTACATAAGCGTATTTATTGGTGAAGTTGATTGTTCAAGTCTCATTGGATCGGAGTTATTTCATTTCTTTAAGAAAGGAAGAAAAAACTTTATTAATGATAAGAAAGAAAAGGGGGCATGAGACCTTACCCTCAAAATTGAATGAGTAGAAGTTCTATACATAGTTTCAAAAACGATAAAATTCTTACCAAGAATAGCGAGGGTGATAACCTTTGTTTATTCTCGACCATTTCTCAACTGTTTCTGGTCGAGTAATCTCTTGGATCTTCTAAGATTAGAATATCAAAATAACTTTTGTACATTTTATTTATAATATGATATTTTAATAATTCCTATTTAACTTATTAATTAACAGTATTCAATATCCAAATTCAATCGAACAGGTTTGATTAGAATCTGAATACCCAATTTGATCCTAGCTCACATCAATAGAGCATAAATCAGTATGGCCAAATGCTAAAAGTATCGATGGGCTCACCTATCTTAACTACAACGTAAGCTCTTTGTTTTGGTAAATGTCAAGAGGTCAAACCCATCAAATGCAGATTTAGGTTGTGTTTTAGTACTATTGCCATTTTCTCTTGTAATTTGTAGGTTGGCTAATACAAATTTTATGAGAATATAATTTTTTTTTTACCATAAGTGCTTTGAATTATCAATACAACATTTGGTACCATTGTTGTTTCTTCAGAAAAAAGGTCAAATTTGATGTTTCTAATAAAAATGCCAACATCTCAATTCAATGCCTATATTTTTTTAGTAGAAATGATTATTTAATATGATATAAGAAGACGATTTCTCAAAATTTTATATTGATAAGATGATTAAGATCCAAACATTTTTTTTATAAAAACAACAATGATACCAAACACAACCTTAATTGCGAATCATCAGTAATAGAAGTCAACTTTTCATGGTGGCCCGGCCCCAGCACTCGTTAACCACACACACTATCATTAGCATGTCCAAGAAAATGAAGACAATACCATATGCATTTTGCTATTTTTCTTGGCGACCCAAAAAAAATCCCAATGTTTCATTTTATGTGCTTCCTTAATTTTAGTCTCATTAACCACGATACCATTGTTTGTGCTGGGCCCAGCCCCAGCACTCATTAACCACACTACCATTGAATTTTTAGTTGGGGACATTATTAATAATCTAATTATGGTAATAGTAGGTATGCTTCCTTAATTTTAGTCTTATTGACTCATGAGTATTGAACAGCGAGAACTATGACGAAATTTCTCCTTTATTCAACATTAAATTAATTTGTTCAATTGATTTCTCTTTGCTCCATTTCCTCACTTCTTAGTTGTCTTAGTTGGAGAAGAGATAAATGTAGTCCCATCGTCTTGTCAACCTTTTCTATCGGACGCGTTTAGAATATGTAAGAAACCATGAACCATGTTTGATTGCTTAGTAGTTGGAACTAGGAAGTTAGCCACTGGAATCAATAATACATCAGAGAGAGAAAGACAGTTAGTTAGTGGAATCAATAATACATCAGAGAGAGAGAGAGCACTATCTCTATGGTGTATTATTAATTTCACTAGCTAACTTCCTAGTTCCTTAGTTCCAACTACTAAGCAAGCAAACATGGTTCTTAGGGTGTTATAAATTATATACATAATAAAATTTCACTATGATACTAGAATAATTTATAACCAATTAATTAGTATCATAAAAGTGATAACCAATTATCCAAAATTGACTTGTTGGTCTCATACAGAGGGTTAGGCACAGCTAAGGGCTTGGTGTTTATCCAAAACTAAATGATGGAACCTGACCTATGATATGGACATATAGTTCGCCATATAAAATTGAAGCCAGATGAAGAGTAGAGTATATTTATTGAGCAAATAAGCCCTTTTTTTTTAAGTTTCTTTAAGACCCAAGTTTACTCAAAGTGAAGGGGTAAGTGGGCAACCACCTTAAAATTTATTAATTAACCCCCATCAAAAGAGAGGAAGAATATTACCAAGGATATACCCACCTGGCCACCTTACCTCTAAACCCAAATGCAAAGCACATAAATCACCACGTCAACCCAATCGACAATCCAAACAAATCAGCCCATATGAAGAGGTGTATTGTACATTGATTGTGTATATGAATCAAGGTTCAAACAGGCCGATATGTATCATATCATGGCCTTTTACCATGATTTAGAGGGTAGTCAGGCCTTAAATCAATCACTCTAAACTAGATTAAAAAAAAATAAAAAAAAAACACCGATACAAACTGATACATCTTACCGGCATATCAGCCTGTATTGATACTTTGAACCTTGATATGAATAGGGATGTACTATATTGGACATGGGGACACAGGACCCACCACATGGGTCTGGGACCCTCATAAGTTACCACATATATCATGCTTTGAAATCATAACCACAAATAATTAATTTTGCTTCCATTACTGTTTTTACCAAACTAAGATTGTTTGGTTCCATTACTGTTTTTACCTGAAGGCTCAGTTTGGAAGGAATATAGATACAAATATGTACAGTATAAATACATATAAAATAGCACAAAATACACGATTTTGTACTTTACAATTTTGTATCTGTACTCCTTCCAAATGGAGCCGAAATATTTTTAATTGATTAATACAAATTGATGAAAAGGTATTGATGAAGGGAAATTTGGCCCGACCTCGCAATCACCCGATACGTGGCAAAAACAAACCACTCGGGACAGCAGAGCGCCCAAAACGAGCACCGAAAGTAACGAAGTCCAAGCTCACTACCGAGCCCGAACTCCACCAGACCGCTCTACTA